TTCAAGTTAAAAAAATTCAGTAAAAAAATAATCTCTAAAATTTGATTCTCATCTATAATTTGTTCTAGCAATCACAAAACTCAGAAAAAAATTAGAGGATTAGGAATTATAATAAACTATCTGTCCTAACATTTTTAAAACAATTGGATTAGATTTGAATTTTTATAGGTGGTACAGATACTTATAACCTGAACTGTATATGATAATTATTTCTATTTAATTATAATAATTCTTAAGTGATCCTTTATTTATTAAAGGAAACTGTATATGATAAAAAACCATAGGTAGTGATAACAAGTACAATATCTTTTCTAAAATTTCAAATGAAAAGTATTAAATAGGTTATCTGGGTGTTCTAACTAATCCTGAAAGATATATGCTTTTAGCAACAACTACCAGGATCTAGATTAGATTAAATAGTTTATAAGCTAGTTATAACATTTCTATTTCCTAAAGATTACACTCAGATGTGTAAATCCATCACCATGATGATAAACTCATATAACTGGGATAGAGATGTGGCTTAACTTAAATGGACCTTGTAGTCTTGTATGTTGGGTATAAATTACTCAATAAGGTATACATGTGCTACTAGCACCTTTTAACCAAAGAAAAAACCAATAATTTTTTTTATCTTTAATCATCCAATCACATGAACCAATATCACGCGGTGACTTTTTGCGGTAAATTTATTGATTTTAAATTATTTTTTATTCAATTACAACACCCCCGTCATCTCCAACACTAGATTTAGATTTGTCATTTGCTGCTTCTTGTTCGTCCTTTCTCTTTGGTAATTTCAACTCGCCATTTCTATCAAACAAAGATGAGTCATCTTCATCTGCCATATATTCATCCAGTGCGGGAGCTTCATCCTCTAAAGTTAGTCTAACAAGATATTTTTCTCTTTGAATCGCCACTCTTACTGACTTTGGAGTATTCGGAATCAAGGACGCAAATGCAAGCTTGATCAAAAATATAATATGCTATCGAAATGAAATTAATTAGTCAGTGGCGAACTTTAAGAAAAGCGAGTGCACTAACATATGTATGAACTACCTCAAAAATCAAGATAAACAAAAGTCTGGCAACAAACAATTGGTCCTCGTCATCACCAGTGAAATTTTGAAATTGATTTTGCATCCAGGTTGAATGAAATGCTATAATGATAGCATTCGTTAATACGGCTAATATTGATATCATGCCCATGATTTGTTCCCACATTCCAATAGATTGTGCTTGGTAACCAACTGGCCTTTGTAGTGTTACCACATACTGGGAAAGCACACGTGAATATAATGGTTCAAAAGAAGAAAACGTTAAATGTGAAAAGGAATATTTTTCTACCTTAAATGCATCCGATCTTATTTCAAGAAAGTTATTCAGCAAAGCGAAGAGTGCGGCCAGCGGAAATGCAGGGCTAAAAAGAGAAATAAAGCCGAATTGAACAACTGAGAAAAAGAGAGGGACACGAGGATTGTTAAACCAAGTTTTGAGGATAATCGTTACAAAGACAGCTAGTAGATAAAATACCCATTTCTTCATATTCCGATCGTATAGCGCCTTTCACAGGGGGCAGGCGCTCATCGTGAGCCCATTGAGGAACTTCTTTATTTGGTCGCCCGGATTTTTCGTATATTGCCTTTAAAGCATTGAGCTCTTCTTTGATCTCTTCTTTATTTAATTTACCTCGAATCCAGCTATTTATTATAAAGGATGAAGAAATTTCTTCAAAGTTCATTCTCGGATTCAAAACAATTATCAATAGTAATGAAATGACATTGATTCTTACGGTAGAAAAATTTCTTGAAATTGGCCGATCGTTTGCCTACCAATTAAGATAGTTGCCAATTGAATGGTCAGTTCGATCAGGCAATTATCGTATTCACAGCCTGTCGTTAAATCTGGATCATTAATAATCATGCGAATGTACTTTGAGAATTCCCAAGATAAAAAAAAAATAGTGAATTCAAAGTTACTTTTAAGATAGGAGTCATGAAAAATGATAAATGTATCTTACCCCTTGCTTAAATAACATGATGTAAAATAAAGCGGTATAAAAATTTAGAAAATCAAATAAATAGGTTTTGAGAATTAAAGAGTCTAAAAAGAAATGTGATTAGTTTTTTGGGAAAGAACTTGTGGACAACAATTAGTTGTACCTTCGTGTTGTGTAGGAGTCTTGTGATTTTCGAAATTTGTTAACCACACCGCGATATTCTTGTAAAGCTTGTAACGAAGATCGATTAGGATTGATTGTTAATATTATGCATGATCGAAATGAAAATTCTTACCATACTAAGTATCATGATGGTCACCAAGTTCACCAAAGCCGTGACAAGAGATGTCAGAACTCCAATTTGAAACCATATTTTCGGAAATATTATTAAGACCCCAATCGATACAATAACTATTCCAAGCTATTTTATGGAGGGTTAACGGTTAATGTTTAACGGCACACGATCAATTTTTGAAGCCGGATAACTCACCGAAATCAAGACGACAAAACTAGAAATAACAAGTTTTTGCAATCGAAATCTGTAAGGAAAGTAAATTTCCTGTTTCAATGTAATGGGGGATGTACGTAACGCTATTTAAAAAAATAAAAAAATAATAATTAATTAATTTCGATTTGAATATGTAATTAAATTTATTTACCTGTCCCATAAAATTCAGGTCGTGGTAATTCCTTTAAGAGGATAAAATAATAATCATTGGTGTGCAGCGAAAAAAATTCCAAGTGAAAAGTGATCAGGAAAAACCTCTTTGATAACATCCACAACATCCCAATCGTATTGAATTGTAGAACACGTCCGTTTCCAAGTCTCAAGAAACAAAGTTGCTTTTAAAACACAACCAACAAATAAGTAACACATCGCCTTTCCATATATTTGAATAATATTGTATTTCACATACCCCAAACAGCCATGAAAAAAGCAAAGGGTACAGTCAACGCATTGTCCCATATTACGGAAATTCCATTTAGGCCATCGTCAAAAGAGCCCGTTCTGTGGTTTGCGTGAGAAATTAATATATTCTCATCGCTCATTCATTCATCAATTCATTCGTCATCAAGTAATCCAAGAACTCACCTCACGGCTACGATTAATCCATAGAATACGACGATTACCCCACCAACTGAGGCCAGGATTAGCCACGTGGTGTAAAATCCTTTAATTATAAGTGTGATGAATGACAACGTTGCGTAATTGGTATGATTGATGGAAAATTATCACAAACCTAACCAAGCAAAATAAATTGCCAACTTTTCTCCAAAGTATCTTCTAATCCTTTCCAACGGTTGTGCTCCCCGGCTTTTTACCCATGTCTCATATAGATACGCACGAGTGTTCATTTCCGATAAAGGCGTGTTTTCTGTGACTCTTGGTGGACCATCGTGCAATGGATAGTATTGAGTATATACCTTTTCATTTTTCAATCGTTTTAATGCCAGAGAAGCAATCTTTTTTTTGACCATCACCGGAGCTTCATTAGGCTCCGTGTGTGTTGTGTTGATTTGATTCGCTGTCATTAATATTCGGTGAACCTACAGTGGTGATGCAAGGACATGTTATCTACGTCGATGCCGAATAGTACCACGCGTGCACTTACCAATAGATTTCTTCGTGACATGGAAAAAAAGTTTAGCATTATTTCTCCCATTGATTTTTCTGGTTCGGCACCTTCAAATTGTCTCAGCTTGCTCACCCTGAAAAATGCGGCTTGTTTTTCAAAATTTATTTTATATGTAAAATGTTTACTGATGCTTGAATAAAGACTTGATTTTTTTTTTGGTTTAATATCAATATCTACTGAATCCCTGACCTATTAATTAGATGAGAGAGATGTTTGCTTAATACATGAAGGTAAAATTGGATTTTTTATTTTTATTCCATTTTTTGAACTTACATCTAATCTCATATTTAATTTAATCTGTTGTGCTTGTTCACATAACTTCTGAAATGGTGCATATATCTTTACAAAAAAGTCTTCGCTGTTTACTGCATCATTCTCCACTTCAATTACAAGTCCGGCTCTTAGTAATAACCTCTCAAAATTTCGTCTTTTAATTTGCTTTTCTACGCTCCGTTTTTCATGCTCTTCACGTGTAAATTTTAGCACGTAATCCGGAAACTGAAAATTATGTAGGATCTTTGCTATAGCGTCTCCATTAGGTTCGGACGCTGTTTGAATGTGTGTTCGATATGCATCAAGAAATTGATAAAAGAGAAGTGCTAATCATTGATCTCAAGAATTAAGACTCACAAAATTGATTCACCGTATCCAGCAGACTTGCTTCTGGGTTCTCTTTCATCCAGTTTTTTATTCTCTCGTAAATTTCCTTATCTTCTTGATCCAGTAAATGTAAACTTCGGTGCTCTTCAATTTCAATCACGATAATCTCCTTTATTTCTAGTTCGTCATCTATGAACGATTGACGTTTTGAATCTTTGTGTGGATGAAGTAGCGAGGTCAACAGATGCTTTTTCACGAGAACGATAATGAATATAATGTTCGTGTGCGAATATAACATCAAGTATCGTAATTAATTTCAATCACCTCTGTTGGAATTGGGATTTCAACGTGACTTCTTCCTGGTGGTGTTTTTTTTTCATCCGATTCATCAGACATTCTCAATCAACCGATTAAATATTCTGTCTTCTGCAATTCAAATCCATAAAAACACAAGAGTAAAGAAGTTTATCGAAGCGCATTGGTCGCGACGGTGCGGTGTTTATTTATTATTTGCTATCATCGTTCGTGGACTCAAGGCTTTGACTAATTTCAGGTTATCGCAAATAGGCTTAGGAAATCTAAAGACACGGGAATTTGTTTGTAACATGAAAGGAGCACGTGGAGACGAAATTTTCTCTCGTAAAGCCTTGAGTAAACTCAAAATTTGGTCTTTCGCATGCACATTAACAATCAATTTCAGAGTGAAGATATCATTGGTCTAATAAAGAGCTTTGAAAAGATGATGCGATAAGTTATTCCATAGATGTTGTTGGCTGAAAAGAATTTTTTAAACAAACAAAAAGACACATGAGGCGCAGGAGAAAATGCATACAACGAACGTTGTTACATATATGATAAATGAGAGAGGCTTTTATATTTGTTGTTTATATCATGTATTGAAAAACACAGCACCTAAATACTAAATATCATATTCTTTTACCAATAATCGAAGGGTAGTTCATTTTTTTCAGAGGAACCAGCTAGAAAGAGTTACCGCTCAAATTTTCTAAGAAAAATGAAAGAGTCTAGTAGTCACTTTACGATTATATCTTGCAAGTACGGTGTATTCTCGCAATTTCCGTATCTTGTCAACTTTAAACTTAAAACCAATTTTTTTTTCAATATCAAGTCATTTAATGATACTTTTTGTAAGCAATATGATAAAATGTCGCCTAAGAATTGAGTCGATGAAATCATTGGCTCCAATTGATACACAAATCCGATATAGTAAACTTGTAAACTTAACAATGGTTTCGTTTTAATTGGTAAAATGTTTTTTTTTTTAACAGAGGGACGAACAGGATGAACAAGATGAACGGGAGAGGAAGAAAGAACAGAAAATAGTATCAATTGTTAAGAGTTTTGGTGATTCGACGATGACTGTGAAGCGCAAGTTGATAAGGTAGCCTATGCCTTGTTTATTGAAAATTTTATTGAATGTATTACAAACTTTTACAAATTTAAAACTCTATCTATTTCCTAAACTCACTAAAGGTCTTCTTTACCATACAGCTTATTGTCAAAAATTGATATAGAGTATCTTTGATTAATTTGCCAAGGCTCTACCAATTCCTATTGAAAACAATTCTAAATTATAAAGTGTATCCCAGTTTATCCAATTATTAGTTGCATGATTAATAATTGCATTAATTTCTGATATATGATTTTGGTTGTGTTCTTTTTACTAGTTGAAATTGATTTATTTGACATAATGTCACTTGTCAATCATTTGTTAAAAAAGTATATAATTTGACTAATCAATCAAATTTTTATAATTTTTATCTTTGGCTATAAAGTGATATATAATTTATTTGGTATATAAATAGTATTCTTTTTTTAAAAACTCATTTTGAAGAAGTTAATGTTTTGATAGTAAAATTAATAATTTATTTTTTGCATCAAATATATACAGTATGGATCAAAAATAATTGGAAAAAATCAAAACTCATATTTTATTCATAATTTAATAAATAATTAA